TATATACCAATAGGTGAATTGGTTTAACTCTATGTCTTTGAAATAATCTAACCAATAAATTAATTATTTTATAATTAATTACATGCTTAAAATATTATTAAATCCAAATGATGACACGTAATTGGTTGATAATTTTTTTCCTTCTACAGTACCCTTGTTACTGTATTTTTCTTTTTCATTTTGGACAATACGTACAAGCGTATCTAAAGCAATTCAATCTAGGAACATAAATGTTGGGAGATGGGCTTATCTTTTCATATAAATATTTCATTTCCTTTCTGATCGAAGAAGCTTGCCTTATAGATTCTTTTTCATAAAACAATGATCTCTTTACTCTCGTTGCTATGAAGCGACTAATAGAGTCCTCTATAAGAAATTACACGTTCCAAACCCTCTAGCCTTTGATGGTGGCTGAAGAATGAAGAGAAAAAAAATAAGAGCAAAGAGTTTTTGGTTTTTCTAACTTACAAAACAACTCATGTTTACTCTTGGTTGTGTGTAAGAAATCAATACATCTGTTCACTATTTATAGACGTGTTAGGGATATAGAGATAGGATATTACTTTTAAATTTAAACAAATTAAATTTAAAAGTAATTAATTATTATTTAAATTTAAATAAATTAAATTTAAATTTATATCCTATCTTAAATGCTTGTTTTAATTATTCAATTAAGAAATATCAAAATAATATCCAACATTAATTAATGGAATATTAGTTAATTATCTACAAATAATTAACAAAGTTGCATGCCATGTGGATGCGCGACATTTTAATGCAACATCTCTCACTCGTACACATTGGCATCAACTTATGCTATTTTCAATTAAACTCATTCTTCATTCATTGTCATATAGGGAAATAGAACATGCGACCAAGAAGAAAATAGAGGTACCAGTGAGCAGTGAGATATTAAGTTACCATCTTTTTAACATAACACGGCTCGAGTTCTCATCATACCTTAAATCATTTTATTCACATAAGATTTTGCATCTCTGGTCCCTCCTACATGTAAAAGCTATGCAAAATCTCTTTATGTGTCTAAACTCATGGTTATATCTAACAACTAATATTTTTATAATTGCCCAAACAATGAGTTGTAGACCTTGTATGTCAGATCTATAATGACTCTTACTTGCGTACTTATGTCAATCCATTATGATCTAACTGTTTTCCTAGTCATGTTTTGCTAGATCACATCATTTTTGATGATTGAAAATCATGCTAAAGTAGCAACACTGAATCTCAACTTCATATCATAGATCCAAGTCCCAAAGTGTATTAAATTTAGACTACATAAATCCTTAAGGCTCACACAGTGATGAAATAGGGATCTATTTAATCACTCCCTTTCATCGATCAACTAATAGCACATACAGTATGAAATATACATTATGGTGGATCTTTTATTTAAGGTTTGTCATGTCAAAACCACCATATGGATCTAGATCCAATTCCTATAAAAAGGATTGACTTGAATCCACTAAGATTTAAATCCCGCTATTGCTAGTTCTATGGAAGGTGGATAATCTCCATGCTTGACTTTTATGAGCTTCATCTTGACTCTAAGTTAAGGTGACATTGCTAAGATCCTTGCTTATAACTCATGTGACAAGGAGATCACAAAATGCTTGGTAACTTGTGATATTTTAAATCTCATCCCACATACTACCGTAATGTAAGGGCGATTGTCCCGTGTGAGAAGAATAATCTATAAAGTTAGGTGACAATAATTACCTTAGATATGTGCCATAATTAATTAACAATATTTGATTAAATAAGTCAATACAAACGTAATTTATTAATTGTTCAAAAAATAATATTACATAAATATCAAATGCATAATAACCCTAAACCCATAATATGCTTTTGGAAAGCATTTCTAGCAATAGGTTTAGTGAATGGGTTTGCTAACATATCAGTTGCGAGAATGTGCTTCAACATAATAAGACCTTGTGTAATGATGTCACGAATGTAGTGATAACGAGCATCAATGTGTTTGGTTTTTCCATGATACTTAGGATCTTTTGTATAAGCTATGGCAACACTGTTGTCACAATAAAGTATAACAGCTTCACTCAAATTCCTAGTAATGTTCAAGCTTTGCAAAAATCTCCTTAACCAAACCATTTCTTGTAGCATAGCATGCTACATACTTTTCTACAGTATATAAAGTAGTATAAAGCTGCTTCTGCTACTCCAAGAGATAGCTCCACCTTCAAGTATAAAACCATAACTTGAAGTAGACTTTTAAGCATTTTTATCATTGGTGTAATCAGCATCACTATATTTGACCAATTTTAGACTTCCACCTTGATAGCATAAAGCTAAATTAGTGGTTCCTTTTAGATATCGTAGTATTTTTTTGACTACAGCCCAATAGGTAATCCCAAGATTAC